TCCTGTGCCACTTGTGGCCTGTGTGCCCCCCCCCCCCAACTCCTGACTAGGTCTCAAGAACCTGATTTAGCAGATTGAGTTTAGACTATTACTTACCTTATTATAAATTAAGTAGCATGCATATTTTCTGGGGAAATATTCAAAGAGGTATTTGTACTGCCTAATTTTCAGATGTATGGGAGGGCAGGGAGAATATGTGTAATAGAAACATGACTTGGAACAAAATGTCTAAAACAGGAGTTATTTATTTGGAGTCCTGGATATAAGACAGTATTTAGTTACCATCATAGTTAAGTACTGGAACAGGCTACCTGGAGATGTGGAATCTCTGTCACTGGACATTTTTTAGTGCAGACCAAGCCAGGCACTTATCTGGGATGGTTGGGGGGTTGACTGGATGACCTCCCAAAGTCCTTCCCTTTCCATCCCTATCTTACTGCACCTATGATGAGATGGTTATTAGTGCTGTTGCAGTAGTGCTTAAGGACTCCAGTCAGGGGTCAGGGCTGTTCTGTCCTGGAGAAATAGACAAAATCAAGATATTCCCTGTGAGCAAAATGCAACAGATGAATAAACAGGCAAGCAAAGGAAGGGGGTAAGAGAGAGGACAGAGTTATAGTTTGCAAAAATGCAGTTTACCTTCTCATCAGGTTTAGCTAGTCCTTCACTTTCCTCCTCTTAGTGGTGTGATTTATCTGCCAGCTGAACCAAAAACTTCTGCAAAATAGTGTGGACAGAGTATTAAGAGACATGAAGAGCAGTCTTGTATTGGTAGAAGAACAGGCTGGATTCTATAATATTTGTGTCTTACCAACTCCTAGTTTAATGGGGAAAAAGTTCATAATGCAGACCAGGGCTCTTCCATTTTGACGTGGCCCCTGGGTAGCACAGCGTGCAGGCCACATACCCCTAGACCCTGCTGCATGGACTATGCCAGCAGCCCCTGGCCCTCTGCTCCTGCATGGGCTGTGCCAGTGTTGTGTAGACCCCTAAGCCTTCCCCTGCCATATAGGAGTGGGAGAGGTGGCCGCTGAGGCTCATGGGCCACACTAACTCCTCATGAGCTACCGGCTGGGACAGCCCTGATGTAAACTGGCAGTGTAGGATTCAGTTGAAATAGGATTATGCTGGCTTAATACTTGATTATTAAAAAGTAATTGCAAAACAGTCCTTGTCTTTCATTGGCCTGAAAGAAAAAAAAGTCTGTGGTTTCCATAACAGGATGCAGAAAGAAGTCAGAAGTACCATGATGCTTTGCATAGTCTGTATCTTAGTAGATATCAAAGCACTTCAACATTTAATGAAGCAAGTTTCAGAACCACTGAAGGATTGCTTGAAGATTTGAATTATGTTTGTTCTACAGTTGGGAAAACAGATATAGAAGTTAAGAAGCTTGTGTCCACCTTACAAGTGTGTAGTTTACGTAAGGAAAATTATATCTTTGGAGCCAAAGATCTTATAAGGATGAACAACAAATGTGGAACTACTTTTCCATGGCAGGTGGCTGCAATATTGAAGGAGAAGATGAGAGCTGGGATTTTGGCACTGGTGCTGGGTTTTATGTAGATGCCACTGAAGAGCCTTGGAAAACCAACTATAGAATGTACTCGTACATCAAGGATGAGGTAACTTTTGATTAAATCAGTATCGGTAAATACATTAAAATTGGTCTCATTGTATTAGTTTTGACTGTTTTGTCTTGATTAATGGGGCCTGCCTGCATTTTAATTGAAATGCTCATTATAGTGAGAAGGCTGCTTACACATGAGAATTAGACTGTTTCCATTAGCAGTCGCATCTTACTACTTGCAAAAAGGAATCCTTGATTAAATGTGTTTAGAAAGATGAGTAAAAAAAAGCTATCTTTTAACTTGCCATATGTGTGGTCCTGATTAAAAACTAATGTTAACAGAAACACAGAGTCCAAAAAGTCTCTCAAGAACAGGCTGGCATTCTACCTCTTTGTGGATTTGGTTAAAACAAGAACAAAACTGGAATGAATGCTCAAAATCTTGTTCTACATGTATATATGCAGAAAAAGACTGCCATTCCATGGCTAGTTGACCAGCATTTTGTAGATCATTGCATATATTATTGCTTAATATCAGACATTTAAAATACTTCCCTTTGTCATTTTTATAGTGGTGTTCAGATAGTTTTCAGTGTGATCCTGGCTGTTTAAACCTGATAAGTGCATGCCATAAAATACTTCTGTGTATTTGGTCTCAGAATCATTTTAGCTGTACTAAAACAGTGAAGTAGATTGGGGTGGCAATCTTTTAGGAACAACAGCCAAAATTAAAGCATATCGGGGCAGGGTAGGCAAGCTGTAGCTCGGGACCTAGTTGCTATCAGTATCCTGATACATGTGCAACCCAATGACCAATGTCTGGCTTTGTAGCCTGGATGGAATTGCTTGGTGGGCTGGATCTTGCCTTCAGGCCATAAGTTGCCAACCCCTGAGGCAGATCCATACTAAGCTGTGTAACTTGCAAAGTGTAACCATGTAAGTCATCTAAGTTTTTCACTTTCCTATTTATCTTTTTCAGCTGCCTAAACTAATAAATGCCAATTTTCCAACTGACCCAGAAAGGATGTCTATTTTTGGGCACTCAATGGGGGGCCATGGAGCTCTTATCCTTGCTTTGAAGAACCCTGGAAAATACAAAGTAAGATACTAAGTTTTACACAACCTTCTAAAGAGAAATGGGTCAGAAATCAAATGTTGCTTTAAATTCTCTTGTTACAGAGTTGATAGTTGCTAGGAGCATCTCTCAGCACTGAATGCTACCACAGCATGTGTTGGTGTTTGTCGTGGCATCAGTGAAATGTTAAGAATAGAAAAAAAAACCCCTACAAGATGCAAGTTAAAATTGAGCTACATTGTCCTCTGTAAGAAAGAAGATAAAGTCTTAATGCTGTGGCTGTTCAAGTCTAAAGAAATTACTATAGACTCACCAGAAAGGTGATCTGAAAATGTAGTTGTGCTTTTCACCCTCCCTTACTTAAATTGAAGCATTTATTACCTGCAAATCGATTATTATATCGCATTAGGCATACTACAGATATCCATTAGTTCCAGCTACTACAGAATGCCACAGCTCTAATCCTCAATGATGCAGGCTCACTTCTGTTGGTCTTTGTACTTTTTTCTCTTGATTCTTTCTGCACTGCGGCCCAACTTCAAAAGGAGGGAGGGAGAGTTCCCTATCCCACCTGGTGATCAGGAAGTGACATAACTAAGTGCTCTAGTCAGGTGCTGTGATAAAAGGGTAGGGAGCACCACCACTGCTACTATCCTGACTCATGCATTTTAAAAGAAAAGAATGATCCCTGCTTAGTTCTGTGAGAGGAAAAAATGGCTGGAGGCATCTGCCTTCAAGAAGGATTCTGGGCTTAGACTCCTCAGTGGATGGAGATGCCAGCCTGCAGCTCTGACATGGGCACCTAGACTCCAGAAAGAATGGAGTTGGGGATGCATCCTCATGCTCAGAGAAATATTATTGTTTGTTTATTTTATCAGATACTTGCAGGCAGGTTCTCCCTTAGCAGATGCTGTGGATCCCATTCTGTGGTACCAAGCTGTACAGGCAGCCTCTGGGCTTTGGATCCTATTCTGAGCCAGGCACCAAAAGGGTTAGGCATTACAATGTCTGTTGCTTTTATTTGATCTGTTCCTGAGTCATCTAATAAACTGCAGAACATAACAAGGGGAAAAGGTAAGATAAATTCCCCAAGGTTAAATGGAAAACGTTGCTTATTTGACCTACTTATATTGTGGTGAGACCAAGGGTTTTTCACAGACTGCTTGTGGATCACAGACCCAATTTCATAGGCATTTTGAAGCAGCCCTGCCCCTCACTGCTGATTGGTGGAGGGGCCCTGGCAGCCCTATCCCACACTGCTGATTGGTCAAGAGGCAAAAACCGCATGGTTAAATAGCAAATTCTGTGGAACTATCATATAAATTACCATATTATTATAAATCTAATATTAAATTTAAATCTAAATCTTTGTATTCTGGTAAGCATTTTTTAAACGCCAGTTCTGAGGGAAATTGCGGCCAAAGCCATTTTTCACAGTGATCATGGAGATTGCCATTTTTTACAGTTTCTGTGAAAATCACGAAATGGCAACTTAAGTAGGTCCTCGCCCATTTGTATCAAATTAAATAAAGCTAATACACACACACGAGTCTCCATTCTATAAAATTATATTAGAACACATATAATATAGAAAAATGAACAATTCGGCAGCTAACTTGGAGGTCAGGGCAGAGCAATCTAAATTCTAACACAGTAGATGTCTCAAATTGACATAGGCTCTTACCTGAGGAATACAGGATGACAAGGTATCTGTAATGACCCCCTGTAGAGCCTTTTTCTCACTCTTTTGGGTGACAAATTGCAGTCCTCTTCAACTAATATGTAGGCTGTTCCTTGTACCTGTGAATATTGCAGAAGCATTAGCACTATTGTTGTTGAAAGAAGCAAGCAGTGTGTCACCAGCGTTTCAGAACAAGTCATCTCTATATGTGTTTGAAGCTTGGAGGGAGATAATGAGATTGTTAAAGTAAGTGCCTGGCCTGGCCTGTGAAAATCATCTGAATTTTAGTTTCCGAACAACTGCACCACACCTGTATCCCCTCTATGGTATAATTCTCTGGTGCTTCTCTGACTATAAACATATTCAGAGATATTTCTCTCAGAAGGCAATGGGACTTGGTCTAAGAGGACCACTAGACCACCCTAGCTCTTGCTCTGGCAACAAAGCACTTACAAAGAGATAGCGGGGTAGTACGTCTCATAATACAATGTAGCTTTCATGCTCGTATATGTGTTTAGATTAAAGTAAATATAACTCCCCTCTTACCAGTTTCATACTGCATGTTCATCGTCAGAACAGCCATTCTTTAATTTATAAAGTCATATTTCTTGCCTATTTCAAACCGGTCTTTAATTTACAGATACTTCTTCCAAGTAATTCTTCTTCCAGTAAGCATTATTTCTTATAATAAAATGAACTTTTGATTATTTTATTTGGTTACCTTCTTTTTTACGTTGCTGGGCAAATGCCTTGCCTTCTCACTTAGCACTCCAGTAGCAGGTCTGTACGAGATCGTGTAATGAGTTAGAGTTCAAGACACTATAATTCACACGTGCAAAGGAGGTTACAGTGTTTAGAAATCAGGAGATTATAGAGGTATATAAAACCCAAAAGATTCACAATTGGAAAGGTTGACTGTGTCACCAAAATAATGCGTCTCGGATCGTCTTCTTCTCCCCTTCAATTGAAACAAGAATAGAACACAATTAAAATCTAATATGTATTTAATTCAAAATAATGTAAAATAATGAGAGAATATTTGTCTCATCCCTCATCTGAAACATCCTCCTTATTCAAAATGGTTAGCATTTTGAAAGATGTCATTGCTTCTCATAAACATAACTTTCTTCTTTCAAACCATTGAGCATTATTTCTGTTTCCTATTAAGAATTCAAATTTCACAGGGAATATGCTTGTAGGAAGAAAGAGTTCTTTACAGCAGTTGGTTAAGGAGAAACTTCAGAGGAATTTAAAGCACTAGATAATTGGAGATAGTTTTGTATAAAATGGTGGGGGGAAACATAATAGAATCATAGAAAAGTTGGGACCTCAGGAGGTTAGCTAGTAGTGCAGCTCCCATCCAATGAAGGATCATTCCAAACCATCCCATTCAAATGCTTGTCTGATCTAGTACTAAACTATACAGTCAACCCTGTCAAAAACCCCAAGAACATCCTGATCTGCTACAGGTAAAGCAAGGGGATGAGAGGTCCCATTGTCCTGTCGCTTAAGCATAAAATATGATTGAGATCCAAGGAAGAGGGCCAAGCTGGAGGAAGGCAAAGATCTGCAGTTTGTATCAAACTAACTGTAAGGAAAAAATTGCTTTCTGATCCCAAGTGTGGCATTTGATCCACTGAGTCAGTTCTTGATGGCTACAAGTTCCTTTTGTGGAATTCTTAAAATAGTTTTCTCTGCCTGGGTAAAATGGCATCTCTAGCAAGTGCTCCCATTCAGGGAAGTAGAGATTTCTAAATTCAGTCAGTCTGTGCATAATCACCAAGCTATGCGATAGCATTCTCAGTGCCTACGTGCAGTTCCTGTAGTCCACCACTGAACTTAATACACAGTAATCTTTTGATTCTGCACACTAATAATGAAGGAAAAATTCTTTCAACTTCCAGTTAACATCTAAGGCCTCTATGCTTTAGGCCGTTCCTTACAGTGGGAACCATGCCTCGCTTTCAGTGAGGCTCTGCATGAAACAGCTTTCAGGATGAAGGTCTGAACTTGTTAGGGGCTCTCTTAATCTGGACCAGTTTAATCTTACCAGGTAGAAATGAAGGCAGATGGCACAGTCTTTGCATGAAATGCAGCCTCCCTTGATCTTCATAATTTTCATCTCCCTTAGCCTGCTCATGGAACTCACTCTTTAAAGAAAGAGGACAAACTATAAGGCTTCAATAAACAAAGCATAAGGTTCTCCAGACAGGTTCACAGATCCCTTGAGTGTAAATGCAAACATAGTCTACATGCAGGAACATTTTTTCCTCTCCCAGGGCTATGTTACTGATATGAGTCTCATCTTTACAGATACTGTTTTTGATCAGGGAAAGGTTATAAACGTGACTCTTATTTTCCACATCATATTCTAGACCAAGGGTTGGCAGCCTACAGCAGGGGCAGGCAATTATTTCGGGTGGAGAGCCACTTAGTGAATTTTGGCAAGCTGTTGAGGGCTGCCCATGCAGCCCTGCCCCTTGACAGACACACTGCCCCGGTCACAATTTTGGGACTGAAAGTCCCACCCCTAACTTCTAGCCTTTGCCACTGGAAGTCCTTCCCCTTGCCCCTGGAAGTATTCCTTTGGGGAAGATGGTTTGCCATCTTAGAATGGAAAAAAAATCCAAATTATATACTAAAAATCAAACACAATAATATATTTTAATTTAATTTTTTTTAAATTGTCCTGATGTGTATGTGTTTGTGCTGTATATGTACAAGTGATTGCATAATAGCTCAAAAGGCAGTCTTACTCTTGTATAGTGTGTAGGGTGGTATGGGTGGGTGTGGGGTTTCTGGGGAGCTATGGGTGGGTTGGTATGGAGGGTTTGTAGGGATGTGTATGTGATTGTGTGTGGGGGAGGCTGTGGCTGTGGGATTTGCAGGAAGGGTTTGAAGGCATGTAGGGTGTGCATGGGAGCCCCTTGCGTGCGCCCCCCTGAGCCAGTCAGCACCCTCCACCACCCTGCAACAGCCTAGAGCCTGAGTGCCCTGTGTCGCCTCCCCACCACTGCACAGCTCCAGCATGGCTTCGCCCACTCTGTACTGCCCAGCTGTGGCGTGTTCTGCCAGCCTTGGGCATGTAGCAGTAGCAGCAGGGACCAGTGCATGCAGCCATGACCCTGTGCGCCCCATGTGAGCTCCAGGCTTGCTCGTCGGGGCTGAGCGGCAGCAGCTGGGCAGAAACTGCTGCCTGGCATGGGGAAAAGTGGCTCATCCCCCACACCACCAGGCAGTTTTTGCTGAGGCCACCTGGAGCACTGGCCTGCCCTGCAGCTCCTTTACCGCTGGCTTTGGGCTTCGCAGCGTGGCAGCAGTGACAGTGTGGACTAGCTGCAGGGCAGCTCGCAGGTGGTGGTGAATGAGCTGCACCATAACCTAGCACAGCATGGGCTCTGGGCAGCCGCAGAAAAAACTGTTTGGCAACAAGGGGGAGGGGCCTCTTCCCCCATGCCAAGCAGCAGTTTCTGCCCAGCTGCTGCTGCCTCTGCTGCTCAGCCCAGATGGGCAAGCCCAGAGCCAGTGCTGGGGCCCAGACTGAGCAGCAGTGGCACAAGACAAACTGGGTCTTCTCTATATAGATGGGACTACTTAGCAATGCAGCAGTTATCCAGTTGCAGCATGCTACACATTTGGTCCCATTTCTGCAAGCAAAATCTAACTCCTAGCAACTTATACCTAATAAAGTCAGCAGTAACCTGATTTTTTTTCAGTCTGTGAGCCCTGAATGATGAATAAATCTTACAAGGATGATACAGTCAGGTGATTTAAACTGTATGGAAGAAGGGCATTCAAATCAATTCTATTCTAGTTTTCGGTGGTGGAGTAGAATGAAGCAGAATGCATAAAACTGTTTGAGCCTATTCTGAGGACTTTTTAACTCTGTGGGCGAGTTGTGCAATTAGAGTTGAGTTAGCGTGTCTTTTGATTCGCACTTCTCTGTGACTGAGAAGGAAGTTTTCAATTTTTATTTTTTTTTTTGGAAACAAGCTGGCATCAAGTGCTGAAGGAAGTACATGTTGAGGGCATTGTATCCTGAAGATGAAGTAGGATGCCTAGTTGTGGTGCATCCTATATTCACATCCCATTTGTGGTCTTATAGTGGGTTTTTTTGTTTTAGTTTTGATTTTTTTTTTTGGAGAGTTGTGTTCTTATGTGCCTCAAAAAGGAACATACCCCAGGTTATCTCATAGGACATTGATGGAACACTATGGGTTAGAGAGAGAACTTTCTTATTCAGAGTACTACAAATGTAGCTTGAGGCCTCTGCCAGATGCTGCATTTGTTGTGGGATATATGCAAATTTCCCATCATGAATACTAACTTGCTTCACATTAATACATTGGTCTCTGGATAAAAATGGCCAATCTACCACAAAAATGGAGGATCACAGAATCACAGAAAGTTAGGGTTGGAAGGGACCTCAGGAGGTCGTGTAGTTGAACCCCCTGTTCAAAGCAAAAACATCCCCAACTGGCTCATCCCAGCCAAAGCTTTCTCTAGCTGGGTCTTAAAAACCTCTAAGGATGGAGCTTCTACCACCTCTCTGGGTGTCCTATTCCAGTGTTTTACTATTCTCCTAGTGAGAAAATTCTTCCTAATATCTAATCTAAACTTCCCTTGCTGCAACTTGAGACCATTGCTCCTTGTTTTGTCATCTGCCACCACTGAGAGTCTAGGTCCATCCTCTTTCATACCCTTCAGGTAGTTGAAGGCTGCAATTAAATCCCCTCTGTCTTCTCTTCTGTAGAGAAGCCCAGTTCCCTCAGCCTTTGCTCATAAGTCATAACCCCCAACCCCCTCACCATTGGTGTTGCCCTCCACTGGACTCTGTCCAATTTTGTACACATCCTTTCTATAGTGGGGTGCCCAAAAGTGAACACAGTACTCCAGATGTGACCTCACCAGTGCTGAATAGAGGGGAATAATCACTTCTCTTAACCTGCTGGCAACACTCCTACTAATGTAGCCCAGTATGCTGTTAGCCTTCTTGGCAACAAGGGCACACTGGTGGCTCTTATTCAGCTTATTGTCCACTGTAACCTCAGGTCCTTCTTGCAGAGCTGCTCCCCAGCGAGTCAGCTCCCAGCCTGTACTAGTTCAAGGGACTGTTCTATCCTAAGTGCAGGACTCTGCATTTGTCCTTGTTGAACCTCATGAGATTCCTTTTTGACTAAGTCATTCTGAATCTTAGCCCTACCTCCACCATATCTACTACTCTTCCCAGGTTGGTGTCATCTGCAGACTTGCTGAGGGTGCACTCTATGCCATCTTCCAGGTCATTGATGAAGATATTGTTGAAGACTGAACCCTGGGGCACTTCACTTGATACCAGCTGCCAACTAGACATCAAGCCATTGATAACTACGTTCTGAACCTGATGCTCCAGCCAGTTTTCTATCCAGCTTACAGTCCATTCATCCAGCCCATTCTTCCTTAGCTTGCCTGCCAGAATGCTGTGGGAGACGGTGTCAAAAGCCTTGCTAAAATCAAGGTACACCATATCCAGCAATCTCTCCACATGCATACAGCCAGTCACCTCATCATAGAAGGCAATCAGGTTGGTCAGGTATGATTTTACCCCTAATTATCATTTTTTTTCCTCCAAGTGCTTAGAAATGGATTGCTTGAGGATCTGCTCCATGATTTTTCCAGGGACTGAGGTGAGACTGGTCTGCAGTTCCCTGGATCTTCCTTCTTCCCTTTTTTTAAATATGGGCACTGTGTTTGCCCTTTTCCAATTATCTGAAATCTCTCCTGATTTGCCGTGTGTTTTCAAACACGATGGCCAATGGCTCTGCAATCACATCAGCCAACTCCCTCAGCACCCTTGGGTGAATCCCATCCAGCCCCATGGACAATGTCCAGTTTTTCTTAGTAGTAGCCCAGCTTTTTCTAACATGCTCTTTCACTGCTGTTGGCTGCTTACCCTGAACTGTGCAGTCCAGTGCAGTAGCCCAGTAGCCTTGCCTGTGAAGACTGAGGCAAAAAAGGCATTGTGCACTTCAGCCTTTTCTGCATCGTCTGTTGCTAGGTTGCTTCCCTCCCCCATTCAGTAAGGGACCCCACACTTTCCCTGATCTTCCTCTTGCTACCAACATGCTTGTTACCCGTCTTGTTACCCTTCACATCCCTTGGTAGCTGCAGCTCCAATTGTGCTTAGGCTTTCCTGACTTCATCCCTTCATGCCCAAGCAAATGCTCTTATATTCTTCCCTAGATATTTGTCCAAGTTTCCACTTCTTATAAGCTTCCTTTTTGTGATTTAGTTTACTGAAGAGCTCTCTGCTAAGCCAAGCTGGTCTTCTGCTGTAACTGCTAGTCTGCCTGCACATTGGGGTGGTTTGTTCCTGCATTCTCAGTCAGGTTTCCTTGAAGTACAGCCAGCTCTCCTGGACTCCTCTCCCCCTCGGTCTGGCGGCCTAGGGGATCGTGCTCATGAGTTCCCTGAGTCAATTGAAGTCTGCTTTTGAGAAGTCCAGGGCCCTTACACTGATGCTCTTCATCCTTCCTTTCCGCACAATCCTGAACTCAGTCATCTCGTGGTCACTGCTGCCCAAGTTATCATACACTACTACGTTCTCCACCAATTCTCCCCTGTTTGTGAGCACCAGGTCAAGAAAAGCACAGCCCCTAGTTGGTCGCTCCAGCACTTGCACTAGGAAGTTGTCCCTAACACTCTCCAAAAACTTGCGTGCTGTTGTATTGCCTTCCCAGTAGATGTCAGGGTGATTTGAAGTCCCCCATGAGAACCAGGGCCTGTAATCGGGAACTTCCGCTAGCTGCTTGAAGAAAGCCTCATCCACCACTTCCTCCTGGTCTGGTGGTCTACAGCAGATGCCCACCACAACATCTCCCTTGTTGCTCTCCCCTCTGACCCTAACCCAGGACAAAGAAATTGTGTTTCAAACAGTAACATCTTTGTCATGTCAGGATAAATTTAATGTATGGCTAGGTCTCAGACCCTCCACTATCCTGCAATGCTCTCTCTTCATTTCCTGGGAGAGGGAGGAAAAGCTGTCTCTTGAATAGAGCATCTGTAGTAGCCCATCCCCCTCCTTCCCTACCAGGTCCTTCTCACCATTGGGTATCTGGGAAACAGCCCTGATCCCAAGCTGCCTACTCACGTTTTATACTTCCTACTGCTGTGAAAATAATATCAGAGGGGACCGTAGATGTAACAGCATCTGAATGTGCTTTTAGCTTACAACTTGCATATCAAGATGTTGTTTCTTAACCCACGTATTGTTTTGTTTCTAAACAGTCTGTGTCGGCTTTTGCTCCTATCTGCAACCCAATTCAGTGCCCGTGGGGAAAGAAAGCCTTTGGCGGCTATCTAGGATCAGATCCAAGTAAATGGGAGGTAAGTGTCATGACATAAAATATAGAATCAATTTTAAAAACTACACTTTGCAGGAAGAAAACTGAAAAGGTAATTGCAGTGTTTTTCCTTGGAAAATTGCCACGTTGTCAAATTTTACCAAGCATTGAACTCCAGTGTACAGGTCTTGGGTGAATACTGACAGCCATCAAACTGCTGGGGGCAGTTTGTTTTAAACACAGCATAATAGGAAGCTGTTATCAGATGCACATAGTACATTCTCACCAGGGTAAGTAGAATGAGGAGCAAGCTGCAGCCCTTTCTTCAGTGCCTGAAAATAATGAGGTCAAAAAATCAGATCTCTTTTTAGTGTGATAACGTAACAGAGCAAGTGTCTGAAAATTCTGCACTGCTAAATATCCTCAGCACAAAGCAATTCTTTCTTACCCAGAAAGACCCAGAGCTTTAGTACAGTAATGGTTTGCAACCTTCTGGGTTTGCAGCTGACTCCTGAATTAAGAAAAATCTGCTCAGCTGCTTACTGTCATTTTTACTTCAAAGGGCATCACTTCACCAAGCAACTGCCATTCCATGCAGCTGAGCACAGCAGCTAGTGCCCTTTGAAATAAGCCGCAGCTCTGAAGTCTAACGCAGCTATATATGTATGCCCCCTGCTAGTTTGCAAACCTTCTTCTTTGCATGGGGGTGGTATCTAAACCCTGCAAAGAACCTGGATTCCAGTCTAGTGGTAAATGAAGGGAGAAAACTTCTGGATCTAGATGGATTGGAGACTGAGAAATCTCAGTTCTGTAGAAGTACCAGGCCTAACAATCAGGATTAAGAACTCCAGGCATTGATACCAGTGTGGCAGGATCAGGCAGTGTGCTAGGGCTCTGAGGATAAAACCTTAAACTTAACTTTGAAAGATTTGGCCCTTCTGTTCCTTACCAGCTCATGTATAGACATACAAAATAGCAGCCCATATATGTCATTTATGCTCCTAGGAACAATACATCTTACCCACTTGGTTTATAAATTTAACTCCTAAGCTAAGAACCGCACTCTTGAAAATCAGGTTTTGCTGTATTTTTTTTTTCTGTAGGCCTATGATGCTACCCATCTTGTGAAGTCCTATCCAGATTCCCATCTGGACATCTTAATTGATCAAGGCAAAGATGATCAGTTCCTTTCAGCGGGGCAATTACTGCCTGACAACTTCATTGCTGCCTGCACAGAGCAGAAAATCCCAGTTGTCTTTAGATTGCAACAGGCAAGTATCAAAAGGAAGCATTTGTAGCTGATGCATGTATTTCATAATCGCAGGGTTGACTCTGGCCGCGTCTAAATGAGCACGGATGTGCTCCTTGCCCCACCTCAAACCCCTTTGAGGTGGGGCAAGAGGCATGTGTGGGAACGAAAAAATGTTCCCTGCGCTGCAAGTTTGCAGTGCGGGGAGAAAATTAGACTCCTAGATATACAGAGGTCTAAAAAAATCAAAATTTAAAAAAGTGGAGCAGGCACTGAGGCAGTCAGAGGCTGGGTCCTCCACAGAGATGCTCTGGCTGCTCCTCCCCCTGGTGCTGAAACAGCATGCAGCCACCCAGGCCGTGTGTTTCAGCACCAGGGCTCCAGTGCCGGTGAATAAGGGGTCAGAGGAGCTGGAAGAGAGGGGAGGGGACCATGGGGGGGACCCCCAATGGCCCCACCCACTCCCCC